GTATATGTACATACATACACATTCGGTTGAAGTAGCGCCAAAATTGTGCAACGAGTAAAGTGCCAAAAAACATACGGAAGAAAAAAAATGATCTCACTTGTGTGAATACCACATAGACATTCACACAATTTATTTCCTGTGAGAAACAAAGCTGATTAGAATGTGATTAAATAATTTAAAACACTCTCCACACCAGTAGAGGGCAGTAATATACAACTACCTGCCACACTGACAAAGACGAAGCTGCGTCATGACGTCAAACGTACAAGACGCAGAGCGTAGCCAATTACGTGCCGTGTTGATGACTACCCGGCATAAACAAAAGTAGTTAAAGCTAACTGTTAGCATCTTAGAATAAAGTTTTGAATAAATAGTTTTCTCTATTCAACCCACAGGAATTGTAAGTGGATATTTATTATATTTTATAAACTCAGGTCTGCTGACTCGTAGCTTTGTCAAATATATATATTTTAATGTCAGAGATGTTGTGGTGCTGTTTCTGTTTATTTTAGGGAACCATGCTTTCTGCAGGAGATGTCCAGAGTTCCCTTCGTAAACTGGAAAGTCTCCTGAGAAGAATAAAATACCCTGGTCCCGTGGACTACAACGGGTAAGAGCCTGGTTTCATCTGACATGCTAAGTTTTCACAAAGCTTCRTTATTTCTAACAAAACAGCCTCAGTTTAAACAATGATCTGGATCAATGTTTTAAAATCATAAACCTTTGAGGAGTTCTCATCTGTGTCACTAAACCTCCCTGAGGGACCCCTCAAGTTCTATCTAATTTAAATCTTAATCTAATCTTAATCTGTTTCAGGAAAGGAACAGAAGAGGACCTGAACAGGAATAAAAACACACAATATTCAGGAAGGAAACACAACAATAAACATAAAAATAAACATGTAGTAATGAACTATTATGGCAGAAAACCTGAAGCGTGATTTACCCACAAACACAGCAGGTATACAAAAGTTATACTCCGGTAAGAATAGCTCTAGTACCTTTTTTTTTTTCAAGTAAAAGTAAGAAGTAACCCTCCAAGAGATTATTCAAGTAAGAGTTAAAAAGTATTTGTAAAAACCTGAGTACTAACTATTTAAAAATGCTGTCATCAGACAGACAACAAACATAAAGTTATGTTCAGATTTGATATTTTAAAGACTAAAATGAATAAATATACCAACAAATAACATAAATACAAAATAACAAATTGCAATGTTTTATTTTTAATTTAAAACCTATTAAATAAATTCATAAGGCAATGAACAGTACATGTAGAACAGGGACTTACATACACACAGTGTTTACTACATGTTTTCACCTGAAACTCACATCAGACCAACAAAGCTTGTTTTCAAACAACAACTCTTATTATACCTGTATCAGGTGCTGATTTAGTTAAAACATGTTTGTTCTTCATTTAGTGAAGCACAACCTGCAGAGTATCCAGATGTTTTACTCTGTTAAGAGTAGTTATTCATTTCATTAAAAAATAACTATGTACAATAAAAACAAAGAAAATACTTCCATCCTTCTGTTCCCTGATGCTGTTTATTTCTTCAGCAGGCTTTGTAAAGGAGACCCCTCAGCTTTTCTGCCAATAATGAGCTTCACCCTGACCACCTTCTCTGTCCCTTTGGCTGAGCAGCTTGTGGCAGCTGGACTTGAACTGTCCAGTAAAACTGACCTTCGGTTCACTGACACAGTTTATAAGGTAACACGTCACTGTCACTGGTTTAATACATCTAAGACTGTGTCTCAACTCAGGGGCTGCAGCCCAGGCGGTCTGGGTGGGTTGTATAAAACTGCTGTCAAATGAGACGGTCTAGCCTTCATGTGACGTATGTGTGTGTGACCACACGCTATCTGCTTACTCATCAGTTTTATATCACTTTCTTTCAGATTTAAAATGTGTTGGGTTGTGTTAGGGCTGGGTGGTATGACCTCACATTCAAATCAGGATATAAATTGAATCCCTTCATAGTAACACTATACATCGCAGTAAAAAACTATCATAAAAAGCAAAGATAATGTAATTTTTAGAGCATTTATTTTGATTTGGTTTGATTTGGTTTATTTAACCGGAAAAGATTATTAAAAATCAAGCCTGACTCAGCATAATTGCTGTTTTACAGCAGG